TCAGGATACCAAAACATTTTGGACAATTCCATGCTCCCAACCTTGTGGGAACAGTTTGGAGCGGGCCCCTCTTCCAACATGACTGTGCACCAGTGCACAAAGCAAGGTCCATAAAGACATGGATGACAGAGTCTGGTGTGGATGAAATTGACTGGCCTGCACAGAGTCCTGACCTGGAACCCATAGAACACCTTTGGGATGAATTAGAGCGTAGACTGAGAGCCCAGGCCTTCTCGACCGACATCAGTGTGTGACCTCACCAATGCGCTTTTGGAAGAATGGTCAAAAATTTCTATAAACACTCTCCTCAACCTTGTGGACAGTCTTCCCAGAAGAGTTGAAGTAGCTGCAAAAGGTGGACCGACATCATATTGAACTCTGGGTTAAGAATGGGATGGCACTTCAGTTCATAGTATGAGTCAAGGCAGGTGAGCGAATACTTTTGGTAATATAGTGTATGTGTATATAACTATCATGGTCTCTTTTTTATGACCATAAGTATACGAAAAAGATTATAGTCATGCCTGGCACTGAAACTGGGTTGACATGTGTCCACATATTCATGTTTGCATTTCAGCACCAGTTGTGCAAATGCGTCTCTTCCTGTCACAACACATTGTCTGCCCTGCTGTCTGCAATGGGCCACATGCACATGCTAAGGCCTGAGTTACACTACAGTGTCTGGAGGGATTCCATGAGAAAGAACTATCTTTACGTGGCTCAGATAAGAAACACAGATAGACCCACAGGACAGAGAGATAAAGAGAAATGGGGAAAAGTTTAGCTTTACAGGTTAATTTGTCCAGCAAAAGTTTAGTGTAATTCCAGAGAAAGCAGATTCAAAATAAGTTATTTTGGTTGTTGAGAAAACAACCAAAATGTTTTAAGCAGGTTTTGTCTCAAATTAATTTGTTTTAGTGTTTATTTGAAATTGTTTTTCTAATTTTATAGTTGCATGTGTAAGTTACACATTTCATTATAAATAAAAAGTGATTTGTTTAATTGTTTTGACATTTGTTTTGTACAAAAAACGTGCATTAGCAACCACACTTGATGGTATACATGTAATATGGTAACATCAGTGTTGTAATACAGTACTTGTTATTCTTATAATGTGGTTAGTATCTGAAATATGATTCAGCTGATATAATGGGGTCAGACAGAAGACTAGTCCATTTGGTTAGACTGCCCTGTTGCAGTGAGAGCAGGACAGTTGTAAAATGATGGGTCAAGTGCTAAAGGAAAACACCCAGTGTTATTTCACTTCCTTCTCTATAAAATGTCTTTACCTGTTTTAAATGTTAATAACATTACATTTTTAGTGCTGATTCTCATCCCAGCGGCTTCATACTCAGCTGCAAACCACCCTAGTGCATGCTGCAGGTCCTGGCTCAAAGAAGCCAACAAGGCAACAACAAGGCACAGTGAACCAGGCTTCTGCTCCTGTCGTACAGGGAACGTACAGCCCTTATCAGAGGGCCTCTGACCCCATACTCCCGGAGCACCCCCCACAGGATACCACTGGGGACGTGGTTGAAAACCGTCTCCATCCAGAGACTTGAGGTACTCAGGGCGGCTCTCATCCACCCCCGGCACCCTGCCACCAAGTAGCTTCTTGACCACCTCGGTGACTTCAGTGCAGGAGATGGGTGGGTTAGCCACCGGGTCCTCAGCCTCTGCTTCCTCTGCGGAAGGCGTGTCAGTGGGATTGAGGAGCTCCTTGAAGTATTCCTTCCACTGCCTGACAACATCCCCAGTCGAGGACAACAGCTCCCCACATCCACTGTAAACAGTATTGGCGGGAAACTGCGTTCCCTTCCTAAGGAGCCGGACGGTTTCCCTGAACTTTTCCCACACCCGAGCTGCAGTCCGCTTGGCCTGCTTGTACCTGTCAGCTGTCTCAGGAGCCCCCCGAACCAACCAGGCTCGATAGGACTCTTTCTTTTGTTTGATGGCCTCCCTTACCTCTGGTGTCCACCACCAGGTTCGGGGAGTGCCGCCGCGACAGGCACCAAAGGATGGATCCTCACAGACTGCGGCCTATCTGACAGAAAGTCCAGGACCCAGTTGCAGAGGGTAGAGCGTACATAGGAGTCCTTCTCCTCTAAGTGGGTGAGGGTTGTGTGAACTACAGAGGAGATGGCGTCCTCTGTGGAACTGTTGTTCCTGTATGCATACTGGTGCGGGTCCTCAGTGACATCGATGGAGTCCTTAATGCGGGCCATGACCAGTCTTTCGAAGCACTTCATGACTATCGGGGTGAGGGCTACCGGCCGATAGTCATTCAGGCCTGTCACTGTGAACGCTTTGGGGATAGGGATGATTGTGGCAGTCTTTAGAGAGGTGGGGATTGTCGCCTGTTGGAGGGAGGTATTGAAGATGTCTGTCAGTACCTCCGTCAGCTGGTGTGCGCAGTCCCTTAGCAGCCGCCCAGGGATGTTGTCGGGACCAGCAGCTTTATGTGGGTTGATCCTTTGGAGGGTCCTCCTCACCTCTGCTGCGGTCACACTAAGCGGCTCTTCTCCTGGTGGAGGGGTAAGCCTGGTGCTGGGGGGATGTTCGGATCGTTGAAGCGGGCGTAGAATCTGTTGAGAGCGTTGGGAAGAGAGGGGGCATTGTGCATCTCTGGTGTTATAATCTGTGATGCACTTGATTCCCCTCCACATACTCCGCGGATCGCTGGACGAGAAGTGACCCTGGGTCTTCTGGGCGTATGCGGCTTTGGCCCTCTTCACACCGGCGTTCAACTTTCTCCTTGCCGCTCCGAGTGCGACTCTGTCAACGGACCTGAAAGCAGCATCCCTGGCTTTCAGCAGAGACCTGACCTCTGCATTCAGCCAGGGTTTCAAGTTAGGATAATCGATTACAGTTCGGGTGATGGTTACATCCTCTGCACACCTACCTATGTATCCAAGGACAGCAGTTGTGTAGTCCTCCAAGTCCACCTTCATGGACAGCTGCTTCCCTGAAGATCTGCCAGTCCGTGCGCTGGAAACAGTCCTGCAGCATGGGGGCAGCATCACTGGGCCACACGGTGATGGTCCTCTGTGTGGGTGCGTGGCGTCTGAACAGGGGGCGATAGACAGGCACCAGCATGATGGAGATGTGGTCGGAGAAACTCCGGGGTGGGGGACGGCTCTGTATGCGTCTCACTATTGGTGTACACAAGGTCCAGCGTGTTATCTCCCCATGTCGGTATGTTGACATGCTGGTAGAATTTAGGCAGGGTGTCTGTCAGGTTTACGTGATTGAAATCCATGCAACCACGTAGAATGCGGAGCGAGCTGATGTTAGCGTGCAGCTCTGTTAGCGCTATGTTAGCCTTAGCACCCCTAGCATCCGGCGGGATCCGGCGGGAACAGCGACAATAAACACCACCGTAAACCCGGTGGGAGATAATGTGGTTGGCATTTGTGCAATTTGTACACCAACCATTGTTGATATAGACGCATAGTCCGCCTCCAAGGGTTTTCCCTGACGACCATCGATGTGGAAAGCTGGATCCGGCATCCAGTCTTTTAGCTAAAGCATTGTACAGTTCCTCATCTCACGATAAACCTCCAGCCTCAGTCGGAGCAGATCCATTTTGTTGTTCAGTGAACAGACATTGGACAGGAACAGAGACGGGATCGGCATTAGCCTTTAGCTTAGCCAGTAGCCCGCCCCACTTGCCCCTCTTCTGCTTCCGCGCGCACCACTTACGCACACTGCCGTGAACTGCCGTGAACGGTGTTCTCAGGAGCTGCAGTCTGCCCAGCAAGGCCCTGAGTCCGAGCCCGATGGTTGTGGTTGTTGTTGTCGTTGAGCTCGTCGAGCCCGTGGCCGGACCATCCCTTAAATTTAAGATTTCTGTTTGGCCGTAACTTAGACGCTTGTTTACACAAGCAAAACGGTTAGAGTTGGCCTCGGAAGCAACTGAAAAGGCACTTAAAAAGTACTCGACGTCGGGAGCACGAGAAGCCGATGCGCATCTATGCACCGCCATCCTGTTGAGGACAGCTTTCACTTCCTGTGTTACTCATGGATTGTTATTAGGGTAACACCGTACAGTCTTTGCAGGGGCAACCACATCCATACAGAAATTGAGATAATTAGGCGGTGGGTAGCTCCCTCGATGTCCTCATCATCTGGACTCAGTAGTACATCCCAGTCTGTGCTGTCAAGGCAGTCTCTCAGTTCATCCTCAGCTTCAGGAGTCCATCTCCCGATGAAGCGTTTGACAATCGGCTGCCTTTGGACCAAAGGGGTGTACTGTGGCTGGACGTGAACCAGGTTATGGTCAGACTTGCCCAGAGGGGGCAGGGCACTGACTCTGTATGCTGCAGAGCGACCAGAAGGCTGCTGCCATCAGCATCAGCGCCATCTTAACACAAAACACACAGATTGAGAGTCTGTTAACAGCCAGCCCCGGAATGTTGATGGCAGCCAGATTAGGAATGTAGATTAAGTCAGGAATCCATTTGTGGCAGCTGGAACATCCGGAATGTATTCATCCTTCTCAGAGACTGAAAATTGTCGCACATTATTATGCATCTCTGTGACTGTCTCTCCTTTTTTTTGGATAGAGTTGTTGTTTGCGAGGTTTCAGTGAGTATCAGCAGATCTGCACGGTGTGGAGTGATTCACTGTAAATGATATATCTGAATATCTGTTGTTTGTACCCGTCTGCCTAACAGTAGGTGCTGGACTTAAGTCATTGTGATTGGAAAAAAAGTATGTAGTGAAAAAAAAACAAACTTAAGCTTCTCAACAGTGGTTACTGTTGATTTATTTTCCTCTTATGTTGAAGTCATAGCACATGACGTCTGTATTGTTTTCTCTTTGTATGATGTTTGATCAAAGATAAGACAGTTGTCTGGGCAAAAGAGGAAGAAGTTTAGATGTAAGCTCTATGATATATTTTACTTGGGGTTTTTTGTGTTACCATAAGCAAATGTAAGATATAATTTGGGGAGGTTAAGTAAAAAAATCTATGCATGGCAAGAAATACAACAATTGGTTCGAATAAATATATGAAAATAATCAAACTTACAGTATTACGTGGAAATCAAGTGCCCTATCTAAGTTCAGTAATTAAAAAAGTCCTTCATATGTCTCACCTGGTAAAGTCGTACCACTGCAGTGTTGTCTGCACAAACTTTCTGTGAAATCACATTTTATCCTGATGCCACTAATGACTTAAAATTTTCTTACTACCTTCATTATCATTTAATTCAACTGGCACAGATACCCAAAGATGAAAAAAATTAACTTAATTCTGGTTCCATTACTTTCTCTTTTATATTATTCCACAGTTCAAGCTTCCTATACCATTAAATGCATCCACTCTCTATTAAACCCATTGGTTAAATCCTGTGATGTTCCATGACATTGGTATAAGAAAAATCAATAATTTCATCTTACTTCACTATACTTTCAGAAAGTATACTTCAGGGACAATTTTGTCCCAACAAAGTTTTGTTTTATACCCCCTGGTACAACGATGTGGCCAGGTGTTTTTAGAATGTTCAGCTTGCAGCTACATTTCTTGTTGTCCATGTTTTCTCAACCACGACTGTAGTTGTGAAAGACCAACATAAGATCATTCAACGTTAGATCAACAATGCTAAAACAAGTGTTTATTAGCCACCTGCGCTACAAACAAAACCAAGGAAGACATAGATTCACTGCCTCAATTAACCATTGTCTCTCTGCTCTAGTGTAACAGTGATAAATGTAGCATCAATCACTACATTATATTACATTACTTTATTGCACATGAATTGATCTGACTGGTCTCTTTGGAGGTAACAGACTCAGAGCTGCTGAGCTTTTGTCTCTTCGTCATCTGCAGCCTAAACTGTTCCTGCTTCAGCTCAGAGGAAATAAACAACATGGTCTCTCTAACATTACTGCTGACTTTATGTACGTGCTGTAATTTACCAGCACTTGTTTATATTGTTCATTATGGGGGACGTAGAACAGTAAGTGTAAATTAAGGATTTGGATACATTTCAATTAAAATTAATACATGGATCAACATTGTAGTATAACAGTTCATGAAACAAATTATATGCATGACGTTCCCTTTAGTTTTAAGCTAACATTATTTACTTTAACAACACTGGTTTTCACTCAGTATGTCTCACTCAATCTACTGACTGCATGGGTTTGTTTGCAGTGTTGTTGAAGCTACATCTGCAAAATAAAATTGCCATAATCTTTTTTTAAAGCAATTCAGTTTTTACAGCTTACTCATAACTGATTATCCAATCAGGATGCAAACGCTGAACAATTCTCCCTATTTTGGGGTCAACAAATAGATAATATTTTACTATGTAATACAATATTTTGTGTCAGTTAATATGTATAATATTAAAACTAAGCATATGGGTGCTACTGTAGATTCATGATTTCTGTATGTTTGTGGAAATAATCTGTCTTCTGTTTTCTTTGAAGGTTCCCCTTCAGCTTATAGAAAGTGTGGAATGCAGGGATATGTTCCAGCTTCATCTTACTTGTAAGGACTGCAAAGTAGTCAGGTACGTCCGACACCCAAGTTCAGAAAGCGCAGAAACTTGGTTCACACTTTTTTTTTTTTTTTTTTTTTTTTTTTTAACATCCACAAAAAACATAAATATTCCAGTAGTACGCTGTTGTGGTGGAGGATATTGAGGATATAGATTATATTTGGTGTGTGTCATGTCAGATTGTGGAGTTGCCACCTATCTCAAAGTATGTAATTTCAGGAAATGTGTGTCATACTTTAGTGCTTACAATTAGACAGGTATTTATTTAACTCTCGGGTATTCAAGCAAGTTTCTACAGCCACTCAGCATTATAATATTTCAAGTTTAACACATTTTTGTTTTTTTGTTGCATTTTCAGGTGTCAGTTTTCCACATTTGAGCAGTGTCAGGAATGGCTAAAACGCCTCAGTGTTGTGGTCCGCCCCCCATCCCGCCTAGAGGACCTCTTCTCCTTCGCCTTTCACGCCTGGTGCATGGAGGTGTATGCTGGTGAGAAGGAGCAGCACGGCGAGCTGTGCAGACCAGGTATGGTACTAGACTCTGTGTAGCCCCACAGAGTCCCAGCTCTGCATCACTGTCATCTTATCAGGATCTCTGCTCTCTCTGAAGGTGAACATGTGATCTCCTGGTTCAAGAATGAGGTGGAGAGGATGAGCTTTGACACTCAAAATGCCTGGAGGATGTCAGACATCAACAGCAAGTTCAGGTAAAAACAGATTTTCATGCAGGATACGTGACCTACCGCTGTGTTGATTTTTCATTACTCTGAATGTGAATAGGATCTGCCTTTTGCTTTCATTGCCCGGAGTGTATGTGTTGGGTGTCTATGTGTATGTATTAGACCAGGGATGTCCACAGTTTTTCGGCTTGGGAGCTACTTTTCAAATGACTGGGGTAAAGTGATCTACCTACATTGAAAACTATAAATATATATTTACTACTTTGATTAAAAGAAGTAAATAGAAGTTAAATATAATTAAATTAATCATTTTTAATTTTTTTATTTCTTTAAATGTAATTGCTCAGGATCTACCAGCACTCCCTTTGAGATCTACTGGTAGATCCCAATCTACCATTAGACAGTGTGTATTGTACACACTCAGTGCTCTGCCTGTGTGGATTAGATATCTGTGGAAAGTTTGTAGAACCATTGGCCCCCAATTTCACCCCGGTTCTAACTCACTCTCTCCCTCTCTTTCATTTTCTCTCACTCTCTCTCACTCTGCCCCTCTCTATCTATCTTTTCTTGTTGTGTTAACATGCTACTCTTTCTGTACTATTTCTCTGCTCTGCAAGACTTTGCCCCAGCTATCCTCAGCAGCTCTTGGTGCCAGCCTGTATCACTGACAAGGAGTTGGAAAATGTGGCAGCCTTCCGCTCCTGGAAGAGGTTTCCTGCTGTGGTTTATAGGTTGGTGTTTTTTTTTTCCTCCCTCAGCTCTACCAATCGGCGGCCTAGCTGTTTTACCACCCCCGACTGACGAATACAATCATTTTTTGATCATTGTTTTTGAATTGTATTGAACAAGTTGATCTAACTATCTAAAGTTAGTTTTCTCTGGGCAGTTTTTCCTGATTTACTTCTGTTCATAAAGTGTCACCACCATCCATACTGAAAGATTCTTGCTATGTTTTGATCTGGGTCATGGCACCAGTTGAAAGATTATTGGTATAATCAGTCCAATGCATCATCAGAGATGTGCACTTTTATACCTGTTTGGAGGGAGTGGCTTTCAACTTCCTGGGTTATTTAAATGTTGTAGGCCAATGGAAGAGGTTAGGACTCTTGTGGCCAATCATATTATTGTTATTGTCCTGGTAGCTGACAATTGTTGTGTCTGCAGTCGCCACTACGTGGTGCTGCTGCTCCATGATTCAGCAGTGTTGGAGGACATGTTTATGAAGCTTTTGTCACTGAGCAAGGTGTTATTACAAGGAAGTGGACGGAGCCTTGGGGTCCGCCAACAACAGGGGGTTATGTGGATCAAAAGGAGTGGATGGATCTGGGGTTCCCTGTAAGGATATGGATTGGGCGTCTCCCATTGTTCCCAGGGAGTAGAGGTGTTTTGGAACAACAGGGAGTCACCTGGAGAGTTGGTGTGAAGAGAATTTAGGAGAAATTCTCTTTGAATGTGTGAGGCTATGTGAGTGTGTGTGCTTGGGAAGGCCTCTGGTGTCTTGGCAGCTTCCTGCTTTCAGACTCAAATGTGAAAACCATTGAAATCTAACAATACTACAGACTTAACTTTCGAAAATGTGGTTGTTTTATTTCCCCAATACAATGCTTCCAGGGATGATTTTTTTTTTTTAAAAAAAGTTCTCTCACACGAAGGCTACAATTTGCTTTGTAATGAGAGCTAATTTTGTATAGAAATGTAAGATAAATGTTGTTCAACAAAGATTACATCTACAGATTTAGGTTTACATAAAATAATGATGCACCAGCTCGCTAGTAAAAAGTTAAAAACATTCTAACTGCACCAATAGCAGTGCCAACAAAAGAAGTAGCTGTAAGATTATGTCACTGAAGGACCAACTTGTGGCTGTGAACAGAGTGACTATATATCTGCCTCCCGACCCACTCATCATACAGGCACATCAGCACAGGGGCTGTCATCGCCCGCTGTGGCCAACCTGAGGTCAGCTGGTGGGGCTGGAGGAATGCAGATGACGAGCATCTGGTCCAGTCCATCGCCAAGGCCTGTGCCGTCAACAGTAGTCCCCACAAACATGTCCAGAACAGCAGCTACACCAATGGCTCAGATCTGCCTGACACAGAATTTGGTGAGAGCTCATTACCCCAACCCACCCAACACCCATACACACAAACACACGCACACACCTGCCTTCACGCTCACGTGAACAAATTGTTTTTCATACCAATGTTTTGTCATCTGCACTAGGTTGCAGCAGACAGTTTTGTGCAAGCCGATGTGTTGTGACCTGTATGAGGTTCATTGAGTTTTCACTAACTATTGATGTCAAACAATTGCCTGTGATTAATTAGTCTGAGTGGCATTTACATGAGGCTTTGTGTTTTTTTAAACCTCTAACAGTAACATTTGTCAAAACCATCCATCCATGAATGAATTTTACCATCTTTGTCTTGTCTTGTGTTTGTATCAGAGTCCTCCATGACCAACAGCACTGAGGTGGAGACACTGGTCATCCAGCCTCACAAGTTACTTATTTTGGATGCCAGGTCTTATGCTGCCGCTGTTGCAAACAGGGCCAAGGGGGGAGGCTGTGAATGTCCAGGTACAGCCTACCAAAGAAGGCATATACTGTATAAAAAATGGACAAATGTAACCAAACTGTGGTTGTCAGGTGAAATCTGAAGAGCTGTACCTGTTATTAAAGCAACTAGGCCTAAACGAAAGTTTAATTTAATATAAAAAATGTTATACTTTTGATCATATGATTCAGGTCTTCTCTAATTTAATATGCATTTAGTTTTGTGTATGACAGTCCAATTTTTTAAATCACATCTGTACCTGACACTTTTGTATTGTACTACATAGCTATCCCTTCAAATAGGCTAGGTTTGCATGGTCAAGCTTACAAGTGCACAAAGTTGTTTATAGGAGGTGCATCAAATTTGCCATATGTCTTTACATACTGTATAAATAAACACACTGACATTCAGGCTAATGTAATCTGGGGCTCATTACCTTTTACTTTTTTTCTAATGTTACAAATTATTGTTAATACTATTGATTTGGTCCTTTTACAGAATACTATCCCAATTGTGAGGTGGTGTTTATGGGCATGGCCAACATTCACTCGATCCGCAAGAGTTTCCAATCTCTAAGTTTCCTCTGCACCCAGATGCCTGATCCAGCCAAGTATGTTTTTTATTCCTTCTGTGCCTCCAGCAGTGCCTTCATCCTCCTCCCCTCATAACTTCACAGCTGTGCTGGCTCAAACTATTAAATGCAAATCTCTGGTGCTTTGCTGTTGTAAAATTGTGTGCTGTGTTAAATTGTTACATGAAGATCACCGTAACGGACCCCAGACGGGGTTTGTAAGGTGATGGTCTCCTTACATCACTTCATTAATCCTAAACTTCTATTCCCATTTTATAAATTGTTTATAAAACCATAAAGTAACAATGCTGGGCAGGCATGAATGCAAACAGTGGGCACCCCTGATCATTTTCAAGATTTTCCTTTATGGATCATTGGTTGTTTGGAACAGCAATTTCAATTAAATATATCATAGAACACATAAAACACAGCGATATTTAAGAAGTGAAATGAAGTTTATAGGATTTACAGAAAGTGTGCAATAATTACTTAAGTAAGTAAAAGTAGGCAGGTGCATAAATTTGGGCACCCTTGTTGTTTTATTGATTTGAATACCTTTAGCACTATTATTGGAACACAAAATTTGTTTGGTAAGCTCATTGACCCTTGACCTACATACACAGGTGAAGCCAATCATGAGAAAGGGTATTTAAGGTGGCCAGTTTCCACAAGGTGTTCTCCTGTTTGCATCTTCTCTGAAGACTGGCAACATGGGAGCCTCAAAACAACTGTCAAATGACCTGAAAACAAAGATTGTTCAACATCATGGTTTAGGGGAAGGATACAAAAAGCTAGCTCAGAGATTTCAGCTGTCAGTTTCCACTGTGAGGAACATAGTGAGGAAATGGAAGACCACAGGCACAGTTCTAGTTAAGGCCCGTAGTGGAAAACCTCAGATAAGCAGAGGCGAAGGATGGTGAGAACAGTCAAACTCAACCCACAGACCAGCTCCAAAGACCTACAACATGATCTTGCTGCAGATGGTGTCACTGTGCATTGTTCAACTATTCAGTGCACTTTGCACAAGGACATGCTGTATGGGAGAGTAATGCGGCAGAAGCCTTTTCTGCACCCATGCCACAAAAAGAGTCGCTTGAGGTATGCTAAAGCACATTTGGACAAGCCGGCTTCATTTTGGAATAAGGTGCTGAGGACTGATGAAACTAAAATTGAGTTATTTGGACATAACAAGGGGCGGTATGCATGGCGGAAGAAGAACACAGCATTCCAAGACAAACACTTGCTACCCTCAGTTAAATTTGATGGTCGTTCCATCATGCTGTGGGGCTGTGTGGCCAGTGCAGGTACTGGCAATCTTGTTAAAGTTGAAGGTCGCATGGATTCCAGTCAGTATCAGCAAAGTCTTGCGAACAATGTTCAAGAATCAGTGACAAAGTTGAAGTTGCGCCGGGGCTGGATACTTCAACAAGACAACGACCCTAAACCCCGCTCAAATTCTACCAAAGTATTCATGCAGAGGAACAAGTACAATGTTCTGGAATGGCCATCTCAGTCCCCAGACCTGAATATCATTGAAAATCTGTGGTCTGTTTTAAAGCGGGCTGTCCATGCTCAGAAACCATCAAACCTGACTGAACTGGAGATGTTTTGTAAAGAAGAATGGTCAAAAATACCTTCAACCAGAATCCAGACCCTCATTGGAAGAGGAGGCTGTTATTTCTGCAAAAGGAGGATCTACTAAATATTGATGTAATTTTTCTGTTGGGGTGCCCAAATTTATGCACCTGCCTACTTTTGTTTAAGTAATTATTGCACACTTTCTGTAAATCCTATAAACTTCATTTCACTTCTTAAATGTCACTGTGTTTGTTTGCTATATATTTAATTGAAATTGCTGTTCCGAACAACCAATGATCCATAAAGGAAAATCTTGAAAATGATCAGGGCTGCCCAAACTTTTTCATACCACTGTACTATCCAGAGGACGAACTAAAGACAGTTCTATCAGATGATGTTCTGTGGCCTGATGGACATTCAGGGTAGTTTCTTTATTTATAAGTGCTAATATGCTAACTTATTTGTATCCACTGCCAACTTTTGTTTTATTGTACTATTATTAGCAAACCGCCATGATTTCATTTTATATCAGGAGTCATCAGTAACTGCTTTGTGCAAGGAGTACTAGGTAATGCAATTTGTTGTGTTTTCTTTTGAGTCTGTTGGATTCTTGATGAAAGTGGTTTCTGGGGAAAATCTGTTCCAGTAACTGTTGGTTACATATTTATGAACTAATTGTTAAATGAATATAAGGTTGTCTGATGATTTTTATATTTTTGCGTTTAGCTGGCTTTCTGCACTGGAGAGCACTAAGTGGCTGCAGCATCTGTCTCTGCTGCTAAAGGCAGCACTGCTTGTGGTCAATGCAGTAGATCGAGACCACAGACCTGTCCTGGTGCACTGCTCTGACGGCTGGGACCGCACACCTCAAATCGTTGCTTTGTCCAAACTACTGCTAGACCCGTATTACCGCACTGTTGAGGTAAAGAGAAAGTAATGAGACAAACTTTGTTTGCAGTGCAGTAAAAAGGACTAATAAAATGCAAAACTACAATAGAATGAACTAAGGTTTAGCTTGTAATCACCTGTGCCATCTTTGCGCAGGGCTTTCAGGTTTTGGTGGAAACCGATTGGTTGGACTTTGGTCACAAGTTTGCAGACCGCTGTGGCCATGGAGAAAGCTCTGAAGATCTGAACGAGCGCTGCCCTGTCTTCCTACAGTGGCTGGACTCTGTTCACCAGCTTCAGAGGCAGTTTCCCTGTTCCTTTGAGTTTAATGAGGCTTTTCTGGTGAGTAACAGTGGCGAAAATTAAACACCATTATTAAGTTCTCCTTTAAGATCCTAAGATTAGACACTAAAGACATGTTTACGTGGAAAGAAATCATGTTGTCATGATGATTTTCAGGCTGTGATACCAATAAGTGAAGTTTGGGAGTGTTCCTCAAAATTATTTTGTTTGTTTTTTTGTCTGCACATGTGTTTACATGTTTTCTTGTGTGTGTGTGTCTGTGTGATTGCACAGGTGAAGCTAGTTCAGCACACCTACTCCTGTCTTTTTGGCACTTTTTTGTGCAACAGTGGCAAAGAGAGGGAGGATCGACATGTCCAGGAGAGGACCTGCTCTGTCTGGTCACTGTTGAGACCGGCCAACCGCACGCTGAGAAACATGCTGTACTCCTCACACTCGGAAACCGTACGTCTGCTGTTTCTGAAACATTGGCAATTGAAAAACAAACTGAAATCTTCACAAGTCCATCCATCCATTTTCATCCGCTTATCCGTTACCTGGTCGCGGGGGCAGCAGTCTCCACGACCGCCACCCAAATCACACTGCACCGTACCAACACCCCCTAATCTGCGACTCCATGAGCGCCCATCTCACCGATATTGTCAAAACCCAAGTGAAGCAAACTAATTCGGGGCTTGCCATCATTCCGAGTGGATTAACCAAAGAATTCCAACCGTTAAATGTTAGTATTAACAGGGTGTTCAAAGTTAAATTTCGAGCTGCGTGGGAGCATTGAATAACAGAAGGCAAACACACATTCACCAAGACAGGGAGGCAATGCCGTGCGAGTTACGCCACTCTCTGCTAATGGATCGTGGATGCCTGGGCTAAGGCATTGGTCTCAAATGTTTCACGAAGGCCGGCATCATCACTGAACAACTAATTAACAGCAACAAGACTGACTCGGATAAAGACGAGAGGGATCCGGGCTTGTTTTGTTTCGCTTAGTGCGCCTTATAACCCGGTGCGCCTTATGGTCCGAAAAATACGGTACTTCAGTTTCCTTTCACAATCCAAACCATGCAGTTTGGACATTGGGTTTATTTGGTCATAGGAATATGAGTGTGAAGGGTCGATTTTATGTGTGTGGCCCTGTGAGGAACTGGTAACTGTACCCCACCTCACTTGTTGGGATTAAACAGGAGAACATAAATAAAGTTGTTTTAATTCCAAGTTCTAAATTCAAATTTTAACATTAGAATGTTTGGAGGAGAAATACCTCACTGAGTAAAGCATTTGGCAGTCTCTGTAATCATTTGCTAACATGCAGATATCCATGTTAGGTTCCTGATCCAGCTTGTCATTTGATGTACATGTTCAGTATGTTCCTGCTTTTACAAATTATAATATAATATAGCAAGCCTAAAGGGAATGCAAATGCATTTCAAACTATTTAATTCTTGTCTCATTTAGTGGGTAAAAGAACTTACTACTGTATTTGAGTGTATTCTAAATGAGAATGACTAAAGTCTGTTTTTTGCAGGTTCTCCACCCAGTCTGCCACGTGCGCAACCTGATGCTTTGGTCAGCTGTCTATCTGCCCAGCTCTTCCCCCACCACTCTCTCAGATGATTCCTGTGCCCCCTACCCTGTGCCGGGTGCCAACCCACAGGACACTCCACTGGCCAGGTTAGCCTGATGTGTCTCACCTGAGCACCCATTCTTCATTCCACATGCAAGACAATCACAGGTTGGAGGACGCCTACAGCTGGTGACGCCTGGCTTTTCAACTCATCTGCTTAGATGCTTTGCTGTGTTCCAGTCTTCTGTCATACATATAATTTTATTCTCTTGTTCATCTCAAACTTTGTTGTAACGTTGTCGTGAAATCTGTTTGTCCCAATGCTTTGCTCTTGTTTCTTGTGTGCTTAAGACTAACATGAAACATAGATTGAAAGCGCAACATTTAATGTAACTAAGTTGGGTCTCTGTGCATTTCAAATACAGTTTATCCTGTTCATTCTGCTTTGATTCTTTCACAGATATACAAAAACTCGCTCCTTTGACAGCTTGCCCAGTGCCTGTGAGTTAGGACAATCCATGGCTCCGAACCGTCGCTCCAGTGACCCGAACCTAAATGAGAAGTGGCAGGACCACCGGCGCTCTCTGGAAATAAATATTGCAGTGGGGCCTGATGGAGAGGGGAACCAGGATCAGGAGCCGCTGTCTAATGGCGCAGGACTGTACACAGACATGGTGGACTCTGAACTGGACGAGAGCCTGGAGCAAAAGAGCTCAAACACAGAATTGGAACACAAAGCCTCTTTGAGCCCTGAGTCATTGGGAGAGGAAGAAGAGGAAGCAGAGCTGTCTGTGGCAGTAGGCGCATACAGAACAGGAACACGATGCCTCCGTGAGCCCTGAGTCCTTGGGAGATGAAGCAGAGCTGTCTGTGGCAGTAGGTGTGGCTGAGGGCCAAATGCAGAACATTCTTCAGGAAGCCACAAAAAAGGAGGTGGCAGCAGATCAGAGAGAAGACAGTGTTACTGCTGCTGATGTTGTAACCGCTGTTGACAAAGAGTCCGGAAGAGATGAGAAAGTTGGAGAGGAACAGGAATCTACTAAAGTCAATGCATCTGAGATTCTGACCGAGTCAGTTCTTAATGGTCATTGTCCAGAAAGTGACCTCACAGATGGTGCAAAGGACAAGGAAGCTTATATTCTCCCTCCTTTGGTCTCAGAAAGAGCTGAGAAACCTGATAATCAAACAGGCCATGTGACTCAGACACCAGAGGAAGTGGTGACACAAGCTGGTGAGAACTCCAGCATGGAAGAGGAGGTAACACATGGACCTAGTGAGTCCGATTCACCTGAGCACGAGCAGCCTGCAGCTCACAGAACTATAACTAATGGTTTTGTGGACAGGCCGCCTGAAGGGCTGGGTCAGGACCAGGAGGAGATGTGTCCTGACTGTGAACCTGACCAGGGCATCTGTGAGCCAGTGGATAAGAGAGTTTCAGTTTTGGAGAGCTCCACAGAGACTTTAACTGAAGAAGCATGCAGCAGGTTGGAGCACGCCATACAGCCTCCCAGTCTATTGAGCCGACCTCCCTGCATTGACGGCAGGAGTCGGCCGCCCTGCTCTAGGAGAGAGAGGGCAATAGACACAAGTGAGCGCAGCTTAGGCATAACTTTAAACGGGGGCACCAAGAGACCCCCAGTTGGTGCCTTTCAGTCTGCAAGTATTGACCTCGACAGGGATGGCCTTTGTAATGGAGAAAACTCTGAAGGTGAACCCGGGGGAGCTCCTCATTGGCCTGCAGGAAACGGACAGCTGTCCCTGGCGAGCTGTAACTCACTCATTCTCCATCAATGGGGCAGTTGCTCCCAACATCACTGGTGCCACACCATGATGAGCCAGGCCGCCATGAGTCCTGAACAGCCTTCACGCAATCACCTGGATGATGATGGGTTGACACTGCATACTGATGCCATTCAGCAGAGACTAAGGCAGATTGAGGCAGGGCACCAGATGGAGGTGGATACTCTGAAGAAACAGGTGCAGGAGCTATGGAGCCGCCTTGAGATGCAGCAAAACACAGGCTCTCAAAGAATCAACGGTGACATGGGAGACGAAATGGTAAGATGTGGACAAATAGAATATTAAACTGACGTATCTTGTTTCTGGAAGTATGAGCTGATTTTTTCTTTTTCTCTACATGAAGACCTCAATGACAGACTCTGAGTACAACCTGGACCCCAACTGTTTATCGCACTGCAGCACAGAGCTCTTCTCGGTGGCAAGCAGGGAGCAGGTGGACAAGCAGAACACTGAGGTCAGCAGATGAACTTATTGTACAACATTGTTGAGGACAAAAGGAACAAAGCTCTCAAAATAGGGTCTGTTCCATTGCAGGTCACTCGCTGGTACCCTGACCATTTAGCAGCTCAGTGTTATGGCTGTGATAGCAGGTTCTGGCTCGCCACCAGGAAACATCACTGCAGGTAAAAAGTGAGGAACATGAGGCTGATCACTGTTAGAAACAAGTCCTCAGATTCATGAGTTCGTTCTTCATGTGCATGTAGCCAGTGTGAAGTAGCCTAGATTTTACTTTTACTTGATTGTTTTGGTTTGAACTTTTATACCATATAAAGCATGGAAGAAAGAACCAGACCAAGCACTGACCAGTCAGAGGTTAGCTTAAGTTATCAGTTAAAATATTACTACAGTAAAATATATTGGCCTAGACAATAATTTTACTTTTCATAATTTTTTTATAGTTTTCTCATTCTTTCAACTGCTACTTTATTCTGTGGTTTATTCATTTCACAGCTGTCTTATATTTATATTTGCGATTTGGGCTTATGTTGATTCCGTCATAGTATACACCAGTGTAAGAATGCAGACATTTTAAACCTTTTTAAATTAGATTTAAACTTTTATAATGTTGTTGTATACGTATGAAACACTAGTGGTCAACAAAGATTTTGTTACTGTTTGTTTTTATTTTTATTTTCATTGTTCAGACAGTTCTTATCCATTCTCTGCCCCTCTCCTCCTCTACAGCGGCAAAGAGCCTGTCCAGGAGCTCTGGTGAGATCTGGCTCCTCACCACCACCCTCCCCACCCCCACAAGCACCTGCCCTCCACCCCTAGCCTTACCATGTCTTTCTTTCCCTTGGCATACAACCCACCACCCATGGTCTGCTGGTTCCCCTTTAATGTGTTTTAGGTGTCAGCTCAAATTGAATGGAAATCTGTTTTTTTTAATGCATTCACTAAACTGCGTTTTCATTCATTCTTTTGTAGTGGTGGACACTGTGAGCAGGGTGCCGCTAGATAGTCCTCTATCTATGTCTAAATAAACGTACCACTAAATATCAGTATAAGAATTTATCTATATATTTATTTTACTCTCTACTCTCCTCCGATGTCAACACTTTACTTTCAATATCCTTCATATAAGTCCTGGCAGCATGTTGCCCCAGCTCTGTGCATCACTCCACCCAGCATCACAGCAGCATGGTCCTGAATGTCCCTCCTTCGAATGGCTGTTGTGGACAGCAGGAGAATTTAGAAAGAATCAAATATTTGCTTTTTTTTTTGTTGTAATAACCGATAATTTAACTCAGTTACTGCGTTTTTGCATTTGTATTGGTTATTCACTGAAGTATGGGCATGGCCTTACATATACAGTAAATCACAGCATGGATTTTTGCAGCTTTCAGTGTGACCACATGTCCACCGGTGGAAATCTGTGTTCAAACACCTCTGCTAACTCTGTGTTTAGAGAAATCCTCTAGGAAACTGAAACAGAAAAATCATTCAAGGGACCAAACAATTAATGATTTTGAGAAGATCAGTCCCAAAGGCCTCAAACTGTCAATGCCTGGAACACCAGTGATGCCTCACTGCCCTAAGAAAAAGTTGGGTTGCAGCACTTCACACAGATGAAGATGATTGGCACTTAATGTCTGATACGGAAACACAGAGTGAAGGTGTCATAGTGTCACCTTTTGTAGGTGAAAAAGAGAATTGCGACACCAGCAGTTAATATGCACTAGGAGTCAAATGTCCGTTGATTTGAATGTAAACTGGCCCACAAATGATTTAGTGTTTAAGCGTAACGAAGCCGCAGCACTGATGGTCTTATGTCCTCCTGCAGGAACTGTGGTAACGTCTTCTGTGCCAGCTGTTGTGACCAGAAGATTCCAGTGCCAAGTCAGCAGCTGTTCGAGCCTAGCCGCGTCTGCAAGAGCTGCTACGGCAGCCTCCACCTCAGCTCGGTTCCTCTGGACCTGGAGAAACCCATCACAGCCTGCTCCAACTGAGACCCCAGATGACAAGGCAGGCCGGCAGAAAGTTCAGCTGCTGACACAGATGCACTGCTGAAGGAGGGAACAGCAGCTCTACACATAGTGTAGGGTGCATATACAGAAGAGGATGCAGCCATGGTGGAGCTGAGTGGTGTGTGTGTGTGTGTGTGTGCGCGTGTGTGTATTTTTTTTCAATTTCTTTCTATGGTTGTAGGTCAAAAACTCCCACCCAAGTCTGGACAGTCATAGTCATCATTGTTGAGAAGCGTGAAGGGTCTGTACACCCAAAATTATCATTTTAAAACATTACAACAAATGTGGTTTTATACACATACTTGCATTTTATTTACAACAAAAATATAAAGCATATACACTGCTCAAAAAAATAAAGGGAACACTTAAACAACACACTGTAACTCCAAGTCAATCACACTTCTGTGAAATCAAACTGTCCACTTAGGAAGCAACACTTATTGACAATCAATTTCACATGCTGTTGTGCAAATGGAATAGACAACAGGTGGAAATTATAGGCAATTAGCAAGAGACCCCCAATAAAGGAGTGGTTCTGCAGCTGGTGACCACAGACCACTTCTCAGTTCCTATGCTTTCTGGCTAATGTTTTGGTCACTTTTGAATGCGGTGCTTTCATTCTAGTGGTAGCATGAGACGGAGGTTACAACCAACACAAGTGGCTCAGGTAGTGCAGCTCATCCAGGATGGCACATC